TCACCTAGGGAGAGGGAGTTGAGGATGATGCCGGAGAAGGTCATGCCCATCAGGAACCGGGAGACGCAGTACGCGCTGAAGGAGTCCACCAACGCCGTGGCAGCCCCCGAAACCGCCAGCTGCAGGTATGACCAGATTAAGGGGGCCTTGCGGCCCAGCCTGAGCCCAGGGAACAAGCAGAGCATTAGGGTTCTGGGAGCAAGCTGCCGCAAAGTGGCAGCCTGCCTCCAGCCATTCTCTCTCATACGGGGGCATCAAGGCCGGGAAGGGAAAGCTGGGGTGCCTGGTAATTTCCAGGTTCAAGGCACTGGTTCTGAGGCTGGTCAGAGAGGGGAGGAAATAGTGGGGAAGGAAACTGAAAAGAAGATTTACCCTGGACACTGGTGGCACACACCTGTAATCTTAGCTACTCAGGAGACTGAGCTCTGAGGATCGTGGTTCGAAGCCAGCCTGGATAGGAAAGCCCCTGAGACTCTTATCTCTCATTAACCACCAAAGAGCCAGAAGTGGAACTGTGGGCCAAATGGTGCCAGTGTTTCCTTACCACATATCCTAAGACATACTCATTCCTACCTTCCTTTCTTGGGGAGGAAGATGTGTCACAGGGGACAAGGGCCATGTCAGCCTCGCTAGGAAGGGTCTGAGTTGGGAAGCACAGGGCTTTCTACACGCTGGGGAGTGGGGTCTGGAGTCCAGCAGCCCTCTCACCTGAACAGAGGGGGAGGGAAGAGGGCAGAAGACAGAAGAGAGGAGGAAGACTAGGGAAGGCAGGGGTGGAGGTGGAGGAGCCTTTGCCAGGCTGCATGTTCCGAGGGTGGGGTGCGGCTATGGAGGGGTAGCCCATCCACACATCAGATGCAATGGAGACACTAAGAATCCAGGAGGTCATCGGAGGCCGGAGGCTGGCCTCTGTAATCCTAGATCCTGGCTATGCAGGCAGTGAGATCTGAGGATTGCAGTCTGAAGCTAGCCTGGGCAGGAAAATCCATGAGATTTCTTCTTCTTCTTCCTCCTCCTCCTCCTCCTCCTCCTCCTCCTCCTCCTCCTCCTCCTTCTTCTTCCTCTTCTTCTTCCTCTTCTTCTTTTTTTTGTCCTGAGGCCTGAACTCAGGGCCTGGGTGCTGTCCCTCAGCTCTTCAGCTCAAGGCTAGCACTCTACCAATTGAGCCACAGCGCCACTTCCAGCTTCTTCTGCTTATGTGGTGCTGAGGAATCAAACCCAGAGCCTCATGCAGGCAAGGCCAGCACTCTACCACTGAGCCACCTTCCCAGCCCTCCATGAGGTTCTTATTTCAAATGAATTACAAAAAATGCCAGAAATGGAGCTATGGCTGAAATGGTAGAGTGCTAGCTTTGAGCAAGAGAAGCTCAGAGACAGCGTCCTGGCCCTGAGTTCAAGCCCTAGAACTGCTGTGCAGGTGTACAGGCACACAGCACACACACACACACACACACGAATCCAAAGGTCTCCAAAGTGGAGACAAAGTCAGGGGCTGGACCATGTGTGGATGTACTAGGACTTGTATAATAAAAATGGGGGCAAGGCTGGGAATGTGGCTTAGTAGTAGAGTGTTTGCCTAGCATGCATGAAGCCCTGGGTTCAATTCCTCAATACCACATAAACAGAAGAAGCTGGAAGTGGCACTGTGGTTCAGGTAGTAGAGTGCTAGCCTTGAGCACAGAAAGGCTCAGGGACAGCACCCAGGTCCTGAGTTCAAGCTCCAGGACTGGCAAAAAAAAAGGTGGGGGGGCTGGGGGCTGGTAGGCCATGCCTGTAATCCTAGCTACTGAGAAAGCTGAGATTTGAAGATCACAGTTAAGGACAGCCTGGTCAGGAAAGTCTGTAAGATTCTTTTTTTTTGGGGGGGGGGGTCAGTCGTGGGGCTTGAACTCTGGGCCTGGGCACTGTTCCTCAGTTCTTCAGCTTAAGGCAAGCGCTCTACCACTTGAGCCACAGTACCACTTGTGGCTTTTTCTGCTTTTGTGGTGCTGAGGAATCAAAACCAGGGCAAGCATACAAGGCAAGCATTCTACCACTGAGCCACCTTCCCAGCCCTAGATTCTTATCTTTAATTGTCTACCAAAAAGCTAGAAGTAGAGATGTGGCTTAAGTGGTAGAGTGCCAGCTAAGTAAGGGAATGAGTAAGTCCTGGCCCTTAATTCAAGCTATAATACTGACATAAAAAAGAAAAAGAAAAAAAGAAAGAAAAGCTGGGTGCCAGCGGCTCACACCTATAATCCTAGCTACTCAGAAGGTTGAGATCTGAGGATCGTGGTTCAAAGCCAGCCTGGGCAGGAAAGTCCATGAGACTCTTATCTCCAATGAACCACCAGAAAACCAAAAGTGGAGCTATGGTTCAAGTGGTAGAGCACTTGCCTTGAGCTGAAGTCCGAGCTGAGGGACAGCGCCCAAGCCAAGAGTTCAAGCCCCACAATTGACCCAAAAAAAAGTTCAGAGACAGAGCCCAGGCCCTGAGTTCAAGTCCCATGACAGCCAAAAGAAATTTAAACACCAAATGAAGGCTGTGGCTTAGGGCTGTGGCCTAGGGCTTTCTGGCTCTTGTTTGGAGTCTGGGGCCCCCTCAATTCCCAGGGCTCACCTGTCCGCCAGACCGCCAAACACAGCGGCTCCCACTAGCACTCCAGCCATGTAGACAGACTGCGCCAGGTCGGGGAGGCTGCGGGCCTCGCACACGAGATCCCACTGCAAGCGAAGAGGGGACCCTCAGCCTTGGCCATGGGAAGCAGCCGCCATGCCTCCCAGCCCCCTCTGACCTCCATCGCGATGGTAGATGGGAAGACGCTGCGATCGTAGACCCAGCCTTCCTTGCATGGCTCCGTGGCTGCCTGGGGGACGGAGGTGGTGTTGGGGCTCAGGAGGGCCCACTGAGGCTCCATGAAGCGCTGGCATGGCTCAGGGACCCCGTGCTGGTCCAGGGGGACCAAGGCCCTCAGCCAGGCCGCTGAGTCGTTGGTGGTGGCTCCTGTGTGGTTGGTGGGGTGCCGACAGTAGTGGGGGGGCACGGCAGCTGTGAAGTTCTGTAGGAAGGTGTGGCAGGCCAGCAGGGCGCAGGGCAGCAGCAGCAGGGTGGTGTAGACCAGCTGGAAGCACCCCACGCCGCCCAGGGCATCCAGCAGGTCTGTGAAGGCCATGGCCACAGCTCCTAGCCAAGGCTCAGCCGGCACTGGCCTTATATAAAGGGGCTAGGGAGGGGGCAGAGAGGGGGCAGGGGAGAGGTGAGGCGGGGAGGGGGAGGATCAGGCCAGGGGTTAGGACCACAAATGCCCTGGGTCCAGCAGCTCAGAAGGGTCCAGTTACACCTCACAGGAGGCCGCGATTATCCCCACATCTTCGTGGCTCCCCTCCCCAGACCCCCTTCTTCAGGTCTCTCTTCACTTTAGAGGCTCACCTTGCAGCCCACCACCCAAACCGACAGGCTCAGCGGCCCTGCTTCCGGCCCTCCCCATAGGACCCAAGGGTGAAGGAGGCCTGGGGTCCATTCCCTTTCCTCCGGAGGCCATGATGAGGCGCAGGAGCCCCAAATCCAGCCTTAGCAGTCCCCAGCTCTGTCAGCAGACTTGAAATCACAGCAGGAGCCATAAGTGCTCAGAGATGAGAGGCAGCAGGATGGGGGCCAATGATTATGGCTGCTTGCTTTTCTCCGCTCCAGGACAAGTCAGGGACTTGACTGCACAGGAGACACTTTAAAAATGCCCCCATGACGGGTGGGAAGGTGGCTCAGTGGTAGAGTGCTTGCCTCACATGCATGAGGTCCTGGGTTCGATTCCTCAGCACCACATAAACAGAAAAAGCCAGAAGTGGCTCTGTGGCTCAAGTGGTAGAGCACTAGCCTTGAGCTGAAGAGCTGAGGGACAGCGCCCAGGCCCAGAGATCAGGCCCCATGACCAAAAAAAAAAAAAAAAATGCACCCATGAGCTTGGTATTGGTGGCACACATCTGTAATCCCTGCTCCTCAGGAGGCTGAGACCTAAGGATAGCAGTTCAAAATCAGCCTGGGCAGGAAAGCCCAAGGGATTTTGCTTTTGTTGTGTTGTTGTTGTTTTGCCAATCCTGGGGCTTGAACTCAGAGCCTGGGCACTGTCCCTGAATCTCTTTGTGCTCAAGTCTAGCACTCTACCATGTGAGTGAGCCACAGCACTACTTCTGGCTATTTGTTTTTTTCCCTGTGTATGTGGCACTGAGGAATCAAACCCAGGACCTCATGCATGCTAGGCAAGCACTCTACCACTGAGCCACCTTCCCAGACCCCCAAGAGATTCTTATCTCCAATTAACCACCCAAAACCCCCAACATAACAAAGCCAGAAGTGGAGCATGGCTCAAGTGGTAGAGTGCCAGTCTTGAATGAAAAAACTAAGGGACAGTGCCCAGGCCCTGAGTTCAAGCCCCAGCACAGACAGACAGAAAGACACAGACACACACTAAATGGGACAGCCCAGAGGAGGCTTCTCAGCCTAAGAGTAGGGGTCCTCGGTTCCCTCTCCACATTGGAGCAGCCAGGCACGCCCCTCCTCTGGCTCTCCCAGGTGCCGCCTGTGCCCGGCATCTACTGTCTTGGCGGCTTTACTCCTCGTCCCAGTTCAGCCCACCCTTATCTCAGGTACGAACAGCCAAGATCAGAGGGACTGGCGCCGTTTATATAAGTAGCAGGTGTGTGGGCCATAGGACACCCCCACACCTCCAGGGGAGCTGAAGGGAGCTCTGTGTGTGGTGGGGAGCTCCCTGGGGGGTCAGGTCGGTGCTGAGAAGGGGTTGGGTTTCAGCTGGCGCCATCGCTGGCAGAGGAGTGGAGGAAGCAGAGGTCGGGCTCCAAGGCCTCCAGTTGGGTAGGCTGCCCGGAGCCCCCGCTGAGTGGCTCTGTCCCTGGGCCCAGAGCCGGTGCTGCTCAAGTGGCCAGCCTCCAGCGGGTATGGACCCGAGGGCCATGAGCTTTCCATTGGTACAAGGCTTGGTTTAGGAGAATCACACTCCAGAGAGAGATGTGAGGCCTTTTTCCTTTATTATTATTTGGGATTCCTCTGCATGGAAACATGGGACCTCCTTCCCCCAACCCTAGTTCCTCTGGCACCCCATAACCAGTCCCTGAAGAGTCCCCTTTAAAATCACCAATATATATATATATAAAAAAGGAGAGGAGGGGCGAATGCCTGAGCACCCTGGGGCTGGGCAGCTCCGGGGGGGGGGGCTGGGAAGAGGGGTCTGCAGAGCAGGGAGGACATTGGCTTCTGCACAGGAAGGCACAGGCGATCTCAGCCCTCCCCACCCGGAGGGGGGAAAGGGAGGCTCCCCCAGAACAGGGAGGGGGCTCACACATCTGGAGCAGAATGTGCAGAGCTAGTGGTTACAAAGTCTGCAGGTGAGGCCAGGAGAGGGTATGGGGGGGGAACCTATGGAGTGAGAAGGGGTGCATCAAGATGTTGGAGAGGGAGCTGCTAGCCTCCCCCCGCCCAAGGAGGCCTGAAGCAGGAGTAAGCAGCCATCTGCCTTCCAGGTTTGGCCTGCCACGGGTCCGTCCTGAGCCCATGGCCGGAGAGGAAGTGAAGGCCTCGCAGCTCAGCCCAGAGCACGTGAATATGGCAGCGCAGGGGACAGGAGGCTGGAGAAGGACACCTTCTTGCTCCAAGGAAGGCACTTGCAGCTGGTGAGGCCCGGTGTGGCTTGGCAGATGAAGAAAGGAGGGGTGCAGCAAAGTGGGGGGGGGCAAGTCCCGCCTCATGCAAACATGGTCAGCTGTAACCACTGCAGGGGGAAGAGAAACAGGTCAGCTGGAGACAGCAGAAATGGCCACTGCAGTCCCAGTCTCCTCTACCCTGGAGTCTAGAGTCTGACGCACAGCTCAAATGCCACCATTGATTCCCACAGGTTGAGGAACCTTGGCAGGTGGACTACTGTCTTAACTTCTCTGAGCCAGGAGACCGAGCTCCTACAGAGCACTCCAAGGTCTGGCCTCCCTTCCTTGTCTCTCCCCAAACCCAGCCTACTTCCCCTCACTTGGCCCTCCAGACCCCAGCCTTGAGGGCTGTTTCTAAGGCCTCAGGCTCCTGGTCAGGAAAGGATGGAAGACTTGGGTCAAAGAGCCAGGAGTCAGTGGCTCCTGCCTATAATCCCAGATGCTTAGGAGGTTGAGATCTGCGGATCATGGTTTGACGCCAGCCTTGGCAGAAAAGTCTGTGAGACTCTTCTCTTCAATTAACCACCAAAAAAATGCATATAAAAAAAAACCTGAATGAGAGCACAAGGTCCCCTGGTTCTCTCTCTCTCATACACACATACGTGCACGTATGTGAACAAAAAGAAAAGAACAGAAGCCTGGCGCCAGTAGCTCACGCCTGTGATCCTAGCTACTCAGGAGGCTGAGATCTGAGGATCATGTTCAAAGCCAGCCTGGGCAGAAAAGTCCATGAGACTTTTATCTCCAACAAACCACTAGAAAATCACTGTGGCTCAAGAGGTAGAGTGCTAGCCTTGAGCTGAAGAGCTGAGGGACAGCACCCAGGCCAGAGTTCAAGCCCCATGACCCACAAAAAAATAAATAAAGCTGGGTGCTGGTGGCTCACACCTGTAATCCTAGCTACTTAGGAGGCTGAGATCTGAGGATCACAGTCCAAAGCCAGTCCAAGCAGGAAAAGTCTGTGAGACTCTTATCTCCAATAAACCACTCAGAAAACTGGAAGTGGCGCTGTGGCTCCAGTGGTAGAACACTCGCTTTGAGCGGAAGAGCTCAGGGACAGCGCCCAGGTCCAGAGTTCAAGCCCCACAACGACAATAATAATAATAATAAATAAATAAAAGAAAATAAAGAACAGGTTGAGCACCAGTAGCTCACACCTGTAATCCTAGCTACTCAAGAGGCTGAGATCTGAGGATCATGGTATGAAACCAGCCTGGGCAGGACAGTCTGTGAGACTCTAATCTGGGAATGTGGCTTCATGGTAGAATGCTTGCCTTGCATACATGGAGCCCTGGGTTCCATTCCTCAGTACCACTGACACAGAAAAAGCCAGAAGTGGTGCTGTGGCTCAAGTGGTAAGTACTAGCCTTGAGCAAAAGAAGCTCCGGGACAGTGTCCAGGCCCTGAGTTCAAGCCCAAGACTGGTAAAAAAACCAAAAGCAAAGCAAAGCAAAACAAAACAAAAAAACAATGGATGTGGTGCTACAGCTCAAAGTGGTAGCAAGTTAGCCTTGACTGAAAAAGCTCAGGGACAGCGCCCAGACACTGAATTCAAGCCCTAGGACCAACACTAAGAAAGAGAGATGGGGGAGGGGGAGGAAGGAAAGAAGGAAGGAAGGAGAGAGAGAGAGAAAGGGAAGGAAAAGGGGGGGGAGAAGAACATTTCACATACTTTCCCCTAGCAAAGGGAGAGCCTCACCTTAAACAGGTCAAAGGTCACAACTCCATCCAGATCTGTGTCCAGCGTTTTGAAAAACCCTGTGTGTTCAAGAAAAGATGACATGAGCTGAGAACTCAGTGTGACATCCATGTATGGCCAGAACTGAACCCCAGCCATCCCCAGAGGTCTCCCCTCCGCCTGGAGGACCCTGGGGGGCAGACACTCACGGAACATGGTCTCCAGCCGCACGAGGCAGCACACAAAATTGTCGAAGTCAACGGCCAGGTCAGGCTCAGAGTAGCGGGTGATGATGAGCTCGTACAGCTTCTTGTTGAGCTTGAAGCCTGCGTGGAAAAGCCAGCGAGTGTCAGGCAGGGGCAGAGGACAGGAGTACAGAAGGCCGTGCTGGACACTAAGGGCATTCTCCAGAGAGAAGGGCATCAAGGCCTCCTGGCCAGGGCCAGGAGCGGCTGGGCAAGTGAGGGCCAGTCCTACAGCAAGTCTAGCGGGTTTAGCCCAGGAATCAGAAGCTGGCAGCGGAGGGCCAAGGGGTCCAGGTGTTATTTCAAATGCCCTGGCTCCAGGCCAAAACAGACCAGTATGTGTGAAGCCTGGCTTGACACGCCCCTGGCTGTGTGGCCTGAGGTCACTCAGTGTTCTTCTCTGAGCCTCAATCTTCCCTTATGTGCAGTAGCGCTAATAAGACTCCATCTGCCTGACACTGGTGACTCATACCTGTAATCCCAGCTACTCAGGAGGCTGAAATCTGAGAATCATGGTTTGAAGCCAGCCCAGGCAGGAAAGTCCATGAGACTTTCATCTCCAATTAACCAGCAAAAACCCAGAAGTGAAGCTGCGGCTCAAGTAGAGCATCAGCCTTGAGCAAAAAGGCTTAGAGATGGTACTCAGGCCCTGAGTTCAAGTCCTAGGACCCGCACAACAAAACCAAACCTTAGCTTTGGAACTATGGACAAAGGCCAGAGATGGCCGTTATACCAGCCAGTGGTCACGGCCCGGGGACAGGAGCAGGGCGCCATCTTCCCTCGAGCTATCAGCCTCAGAGCCTCACCTGCGGACTCAATGGCCATGCGCATCTCGTAGGCACTCATGCTTCCCGACTTGTCCAGGTCGAACTTCCGGAAGATGGACTGGTGTGAGGAGCAGAGGGTGAGGGCCTGGCCAACTCAGCCAGAGGGGGACAGCCCAAAAGGGGGAACATTTGCTGGGAAAGGGGTTACATGCAAAAAGGCAGAGCTAGGGGTGGTGATCTGGGGCCTACCACCTGGCAGGGGAGGGGCCTGCGGTGGCTCCACCCACCAGGTAATTCCGGATGCGGTTCCACAGGATGTTGAACTCGACCAGGCCCAGCTTCCCGTTGCCATCACGCTGGGTGGAGGAGGTTAAGAAGGCAACTCCAGGGGCTAGGAAGGTGGCTCAGTGGTAGAGCGCTTACCTCCCATGCATGAGGCCCTGGGTTCGACTCCTCAGCACCACATACACAGAAAAAGCTGGAAGTGGCACTGTGGCTCAAGTGGTAGAGCGCTTGCCTTGAGCTGAAGAGCTGAGGGACAGTGCCCAGGCCGAACTCAAGCCCCACAACTGACAGAAGAAAAAAGCAACACCACAGCTTAGAGGCGGCGTGTGAGAAGGGACGAATGGGAGGCAGGAGGCGGGTCCCAGGGACAGCAGGACGGGTGAGGGAGGCAGGGATAGGAGAGGCCAGAAACAATTCCAGCCCTAAGAATCTGCCAACCCAGGCCTGGCTCCACCTTCCACAAGACACAGGGCCTCAGTTTCCCCTCCTGATCAACCAAAAGATGTTTCATGCACTTGAACACAAGGCCCAGGTGCATTTATAACCCACCCCTGCTTTGTTCCCTAGGATCATTCACCCATGAAAGACGCCATTCCCAGCCCCGCTGGAAGACGCCAGCAGAGGAAAGGATACGTCCATGAGGTTCACCATACTGCGGCATGACTCCAGGCTGAAGCCTTTAGTCCTCAGATCTTTGTCTGTAAGAAAGAGTGGGTCTGGGACCTCGGCCCACTGGGCTTCCTGGCCCTGTCTTAGGCTGGGAGCCCTGGTAGGGGGACAGTGGGAGAGGCCGAGCCCTGGCTAGGGGTGAAGTCCAGCAGAGCAGACTTTGCTTAGGGGCGTGTGTGTGTGTATGTGTGTGTGTACATGCTGGTACTAGGTCTTGAACTCAGGACCTCACGCTCTCACTTGGCATGTTCACTCAAGGTTGGCAATGCACCCCTTGGGTCACATCTCCACTAGCAGCTTTTTGCTGGTTAATTGGAAATAAGAATCTCCCAGATTTGTCTTCCCAAGCTGGCTTCAAATTGCAAACCTCAGATGATCTCAGCCTTCTGAGCAGCTAGGATTACAGATGTGAGCCACTGGCCACCCATTGTCAGAAAACAAAGTATTTCAGTGGTCCAGATGGGGTCCCACCCAACCACGACCCAAAGCAGAGATGAAGGGAGGGCCGAGCCAGAGTGCCAGGAATGAGGTGGGAAGAGGGCAGGCCTGGCTGGGTGACAGGCTGAGGGAATAGAAAGACCTGTGTCTGCAGAGCTGGGCAGGAGGGAAGTTCGGGGATGAAGGAAACAGGTGCATTAGGGTTGGGTCGTCCAAGTTCCTACCACAGCCAAGGTCAGGGGTGAGGGGGCTGCCTTCAGCTGTGTACCTAAGGGGGTGGCCTGGCCAGGGGGTGCATCTTGGGAAAGAAGAGGAAACTTTTCCTTGGCACTAAGATGCTGGCAGCTGGCTCAGCCTGTAGGGCTGAGCTCTGAGCCATGGAAAATGCCTAGGTTGGAGGAAATGGGAGGCGGGAGGGGCGGCCGTAGCTGGGATACAGAACTGCCATTGGGGGACCCTCACGTTTGCTAATGATTCTGTTGAGGATGGTCTGCAGCTCCTTGACGCTGATCTCCAGGTCCTGGGGAGAAGATGGAGGATGGCACCTGTCCGGCTGCCCCCGGCCCCTTCCAGGCCCGCCCCTGCCAGGCCCCGGCCTACCTCCCCCGCCAGCTGCCGGAACAGGGCCTTGAAGTTCTCGTCAATCTCCTCTTCAGAGAGCACTTGCTGCACAGAGGAAGGGGCAGGTGAGGGGCACCGGGCCTTGTCCGTGGGGGCAAATCCACGGGCTACGTGCTCTTCACCTCTGAGCCTCACTCTTCTTTCTTTTTGTGCCTATACTGGGGCTTGAACTCAGGGACTCATTGCTTAGCTTTCTCCACTCAAGGCAGGTGCTCTACCCTTTGAGCCACAGCTCTACTTTGGGCTTTTTGGCGGTTAATTGGAGATACAGAGTCCCAGGGACTTTCCTACCCAGGCTAGCTTCGAACTACCAGCCTAGATCTCAGCCTCCTAAGTAGCTAGGATGACAGGCGGGAGCCACCGGCCCCCAGCTGGAGCCTCCCTGTTGTCACCTGTAAAGTGGAGATCCCCCTCCTATTGGGCAGAGGACAGGGGTGGGGTTTAGCTCGGTGATGGAGGTGGGAGGGCTTGGATCACTGCTGGGGGACCTTGGGAAAAGTTCTCAATCTCTCTGAACTTGTTTCCCACTGAGGGAGAGAGGGATGACAGGACTCTGTGGTGGTTCCTGAGGAGGAACCCTGCTGCAGGGCCCAGCACAGAGCTGGCTCAGAGACGGCCCACCATCATCACCACCATCACCATCATCACTACCATCACCATCACCATCATCATCATCACCACCAGCATCACCAGCATCACTACCATCACCATCACCATCATCACCATCATCATCATCATCACCACCACCACCATCATCATCATTATCATCATCATCATCACGATCTCTGCAAGCTGCGAAAGGCCAGGTGACTTATTTCCATGGTGCTTATCAGGAAGGAAACTGCCCAGAGGATGGGACACCGGGAGGGAGGGAGGGAGGAGGGAGGGAGGGAGAGAAGGGAGGGAAGACCACACACCTCATCAGGAAGGTTGGCCTGGATCTGGTCATCCAGCTCCCTGTAGAGTGGGAAGAAAGAGGCTGTTCAGGGGGAGCTGGAGACGGGGGGGGGGGGGGGGGGGGGGGGGGGGGGGGGGGGGGGGGGGGGGGGGGAATGGGGGGGGGGAGGGTCTAGTCCATGACTCACTGGGTCCCGGCACTCTTCTCTGAGAAGAAGCGCAGCACGAAATCGCCCTCCTTATTGGGCTCGAAGGTGGAGGGCACCACCACATACTCTCCGGGGGGCAGGCGGAAGCGGGTGCTGACCTCCCGCAGGTTGATGAACTGCTCTGAGCGCGCCCGGGAGGAGTTGGCCAGGAAGAAGTCTCGCTTCAAGTGCACGGCCGGCTGGCCCACCAGCTGGCAGGGGGAGACAGGCGGAGGGCTGCAGGGCCCACCCCCGGACAGCCGCCCCAGACCCGGGCCCCGATGCCAACTCCATGCTGAGGGGCTAGACAGCTGGGCCACAGTTCTGCTAGAACCCACTCCACCCGCTAGATCCACGTCAGAGGATGGGGGGGCATGGCTCAAGGGGTACCGAGCCTGTCTATAGCAAGCACAAGGCCCTGAGTTCAAACCCCAGTCCTGCTAAGAGCACTTTTCAGGCAGTAAAAACAAGTGGATGTCTCGGCGCCCTCCAGGGCTCCACCCCTCTGTTCTGTCGGCTGTGTTTGTTCAGGGCAGGTGAACCAGGTGAGCCACGAACCACACCTACCTCCGGGGGAACCTGTGAGAGGGGAAAGGCGCAGATGTAGGCTCATCCAGCGGGGCGGGGTGGGGGCGGGGTGAGTGCTGGGCCAAGGTTCGGAGTTCTTTCTGTTTCATGTAGGTCATGGGGCTTCAACTCAGGACCCGGGCACCGTCCTTGAGCTTTGGTGCCTAAAGCTAGCATTCCTACCACGTGATCTACAGCTCCCGCTTCCAGCTTTTGCTATTTAATTGAAGAGTCTCCTGAACTTTCCTGCCTGGGCTGGCTTTGAACTGTGATCCTCAGCTCTCAGCCTAGTAGCTAGGATTACCGGCGTGAGCCACTGCCGAGCCTGGCCCTAGTTCTTAAGACTAGAGAAGGGGAGAAGGAGCCAGGAAGCAGAACCTTGGGCTAAGGATGCCCCAGACCTTCCCTTTCTCCCCTTCTGCTGCCAGTGGGTTTGGATGTGGCCAAGGCAGTGGCCTTCCTTGACCCCAGCTAGGGACCGTTGATAAGTTTCTGTCCCCAGCAGGGCAGGACTCAGAGCTGTTTATTACCACATACTTCCTGGGTGGGGCTCCCTGCTCCCCACACTCACTTCTTTCTGAAGCTCCACTAAAATCTGGCCCAAGCCTGCCAACCTAGACATCAGCCAAGCCAGCTTCTGCTTCCCCAGAGGCAAAGGTGAATTCTAGAACCTTCCTTTCCTGGGGCCAACCACTTTCTTTCTTCCTCCTGCCTCACAATGAATTTCAGGTCTCTGTCAGAGGCAGGAGGCGCTGAGGGAGCCTCCTGCTCAGGTGTGACCCTCTGGGGCACTCAGGATGGGCTGCTTGGGTGGAGGCTTTGGGCACCCCCTGGTGGACGGTCGTGGAGGTCGTGGGCCTGGCCACCATCCCCAGGGCTCACCTCGTACACAGCAAAGCCAATGGTCTCCATGTCCCGGCCATAGCGGCGCTCGCGACGGCGGTGCTTTTGCATGAGCGCCAGCACGAAGCTGCAGCCCGACTCGCGACTCCCATAGTCATCTTCGTCATCCACCTCATCCAGCCGGATCTTGAACTGGGGGTTCACCCAGAAGGTGGCTGCAGGAAAGAGAGGCGCGTATTAGAGGCTGGAAGAACACGTCTCATGTGTTCACTCGCTCAGTCACTCATTTACTTAAAAAAAAAACACTAAGTCATCTCGTGTGTGACAGGAAAACAGCTGGGACAGACAGGTCCCGCACCTCCAGGGCCTGCATTCCAAAGCGAAGGGGAAGTATGGGCAACTCAGGTGAATTAACAGGATGCAGACATCAAGCCACTGGGCACTGCAGGAATCACATCTAATCTTAACTGCTCAGGAGGCTGAGATCTGACCCTTGCAGTTTGAAGCCAGTCCAGGCAGAAAAGAGAGACTCTTATCTCCCACTCACCAGCAAAAAGCTGGAACTGAAGGTGTGGCTTGAGTGGTAGAACACCAGCCTTGAGGGAAAAAGTCAAGTGAGAAGTGTGGCCCCAAATCCTCGCCCCAGAACCAGCACGCACACACACACACACACACACACACAAAAGGAACAAAGTACTAACACAGTTATGGCATGGCTAAACCTCAAAAACCTTACAGGAAAGAAAAGAAGCCAGTTACCATTGCATAATTCCATTTACATGAATTATCACCAATAGGCAAATTCAGAGTCAGGAAGTAGCTTAGTGGCTTCCAGGGGCTGAGGGTGTGAGGATGAAGGGGTACAAGGTGTTTTTTTGGGGGAGGGATATAATGAGATGTTCTCAGATGGATGTGGTGAGGGCCGCACAATTTTCTAATATAAAAATCACTGACCTGTACAATTTTATTTATTTATTTTTGTTGGTCGTGTGGCTTGAACTCTGGGCCTGGGCACTGTCCCTCAGGCCTGAAGCTCAAGGCTAGTGTTGTACCACTTGAGCCACAGCACCACTTCCAGTCTTCTGGTAGTTAATTGAAGAGTCTCACGGACATTCTTGCCTGGGCTGGCTTTGAACCATGATTTTCGGATCTCAGCTTCCTGAATAGCTAGGATTACAGGTGTGAGCCACCATTGCCTTGCTACCTGTACAATTTTAATGGGTAAATCATGTGGCATACGAATTAAATCTCGAGAGCTGTCTAAAAACAAACAAAACTCAAGAGGTTGAGATCTGAGGATCATGGTTTGAAGCCAGCCCAGGAAGGAAAGTCCGTGGGAATCATTGCCAATTAACAAAAAAAGCTGGAAGTGGCGCCGTGGCTCCAGTGCTAGAATGCTAGCCTTGAGCACAAAAGATCAGAGCAGAGCCCAGCTCGGAGTTCAAGGCCCAGATCTGGAAAGAAAAAAGAAAAGATGATCAAGATCAAAAGTAATCTTTTTCCAGACACCGGTGGCTCACGCCTGTCATTCTAGCTACTCAAGAGGCTGAGGTCTGAGGATTGCTATTTGAAGCCGGCCTGGGCAGGAAAGTCTATGAGACTCTTATCTCTCACCACCAAAATGCCAGAGTGGAGATGTAGCTCAAGTATTAGAGCGCCAGCTTTGGAGTGAAAGAGGTCAAGACAGCACTTAGGCCCTTAGTTCAAGCCCTAACATTGAAACAAAAAGAAAAGGGAGGGGGAGTGGGGGTGGAAGGGGGAGGAGAGGGGAAGGGAGGAGAAATAGGCTTAGAAAAGAAAGAGAAAGGAAAACGCATACAATTTTATAACCATTAATGATAATCAGTATCAAAAGGTCATCTTCACATAAAGGAACAAGCGGGCTTGATGGCTGGACAGACAAGTTCTACGGACCTTGCAAGCAAGGAACTGTTTTCACTGTGTGTAAACTCAATAAACAAAGAGAGAGCAGATGTTTCCAATTAAGTTTACAAGACAGTGCACCATACCGGTTTGATCAGTATGGAAAAGAATGTAACAGGCAAATCTTACTCATGAGCTTGGATGTTAAAAGAAATGTTAGTCCAGAGATGTAGAAACAAAGGACTTTGTTGTTGTTGGTCATGGGGCTTGAACTCTGGGCCTGGGTGTTGTCCCTGAGCTCTTCAGCTCAAGGCGAGCGCTCTACCACTTGAGCCACAGCACCATTTCCAGTTTTCTGGTGGTTCATTGAAGATAAGAGTCTCAAAGACTTTCCTGCCTGGGCTGGCTTTGAACCAAGATCCTCAGATCTCAGCCTCCTGAGTAGCTAGGATGACAGGCGTGAGCCACAGGCTCCCAGCAGGACTTTTTTTTTTTTCTGTTTCTGCTGACTCTGTATGTTTTACTTTATATACAGTGTATTCACATGCACATCTGTGGGAGGTTGGGGGAGGCACAGAATCTGAGGAAAAAGCTGAAAAAGTTCAGCTTTGTAGCACAGTGGACATTGATGAAAGTGAACTATTTAAGTGGTGGGTAGAGATGGGAGGGAGGGGATGGGAGAGAATGTGGGAACAGATGACACTATGAGAAAGGAAATGTACTTACTACCTGATGTACGTAAAGGTAACGGTATATCACCTCTAAAACAACAATAAAGTAAATTAGAAAAAACTAAGTTAGGCTGGGTGCTAGTGGCTCACCTGGAATCCTAGCTATTCAGGAGGCTGAGATGTGAGGATTGTGGTTTAAAACCAGCCCAGGCAGGAAAGTCAATAAAACTCATATTTCCAATTAGCTTCCAAAAAGCAGGAGGTGGAGCTATGGCCCACGTGGTAGCACACAAGCCTTAAGCAATAAAGGTCAGGGACAGCTCCCAGGCCCTGAGTTCAAGTCCCAGGAATGGCAGAAACAAACAAAAAGGTATGTAGGGCTGGAAGGTAGCTCAGTGGTTAGGTCCTATCTGGGCATGCATAAACAAGGCCTTGTGTTCTACAAAGACACAAACGAATCCATCCCAAAATTTATGCCATGACTGTGTTATATTGTTTTCATCTCAGGAATATAGGTTGGCCCCATATTGGGAAAACAATAAATATAATCTACCACTTTAACAAATAAATAGCCAAAAAAGCTATTGTCATCATAATAAATGTGTTTAAAAGCATATCAATATAGACCAAATGTGGTGGCTCATTCCTATAATCTTAGCTAACTTAGGAAATAAAGATCAAGAGGATCAAGGTTTAAGGCTAGCTAGGGCCAATAATTCATGAGACTCCATCTTAATAACAAGCTAGGTATGATGGTTTATACCTGCCATCCCAGCCACAAGTGACAGATAAATAGGAGGATCATGATCCAGGCAGTAGGGACATAAATGACAGATCTGTGGCTTAAGTGGTAAATCACCTGCTTGGCAAGCACAAGGCCCTGAGTTCAAACCCCAGTACCACCAAAAATCTAAAAGAAACAAAAACCTTGGAGAAAAAATGTATACAGTAGTGAAACTTGCAGTAAATCAGAAGCAAGAGTCAAAGAAGTTCTGAATGGCTTGTGGGGTTTGTTCTCAGTTCTAGAGAGCACATTAATAGGAACAGCAATCCAAGTCCAGAGAATTGGAAGAAGGGGTGGAAGGGGAAGGGGGAGGAGGAGGGGAAAGGCGAGGAGGAGGAGGAGGAGGAAGAAGAGGAGGAGGAGGAGGAGGAGGAGGAGGAGGAGGAAGGGGGGGAAAGGAAAAGAATCAACAAATCGGGCTGGGGAAGGTAGCTTAGCCGTAGAGTGCTTGCCTTGCATGCATGAAGCCCTGGGTTCCATTCCTCAGCACCACATAAGCAGAAAAAGCCAGAAGTGGTGTTGTGGCTCAAGTGGTAGAGCGCTAGTCTTGAGCTGAAGAGCTGAGGGACAGTGCCCAGGACCAGAGTTCAAGCCCCACAACCCACGAAAAAAACAAAAAGAAAACAACAATAACAACTCCCCCCAAAAAAGAATCAACAAATCTGCCCTTATTTACAGATCCTATAGAATCAGTGAACTAAAAAGAATGTAAATAAATCAGTAAACCTAAGCATAGTGTAACAAATTTGCTGGATACAAAATTACATTGAGAAGATCAATTGCAGCTAGGCACAGGGGGCTGAGATCTGAGAATCACTTTCCAAGCCAACCCAGGCAGAAAAGTCTGTGAGACTCTTACCTCTAATAAACTACCAAAAAAGCCAGAAGTGGAGCTGTGGCTCAAGTGATAAGAGAACTGAGTAAAAAAGCTCAGAGACAATGTTTAGTCCCAGGACCCGTACACACACATACACACACACAGGTCAACTGCTAGCTACAATAGTAACTAGTATGACTTCGAAGTATGCAGGGAGATACTGAAGGCTGCAGTACTCTTACTCTAAAAATCTGCAATCCAAGATGCAACAAAACCTGAGTGTGGGACATGGGAATGGGGCTTATTGATACAGTGCTTGCCTAGAATGCATGAAGTCCTGGATTCGATTCCTCAGTACCACACACATAGAAAAAGCCGGAAATGGTCCTATGGCTCAAGTGGTAGAGTGCTAGCCTTGAGCAAAAGCAGCTCAGAGACAGTGCTCAGGCCCTGAGTTCAAGCCTGACGATGGCAGAAAAAGCAAACCTGAGTGTGTGTGTGCTCATATTGGGACTTGAACCCAGGGTCCTGGCACTGTCCTTTAGGTTTTTGCCCAAGGCTAGCACTCTACTACTGAGACAGAGCTCCACTTCTATCTTTTTGCTAATTAACTGGAGATAAGTAATTCTCAGATTTTTCTGCCTGGGCTAGCTTCAAACCACAATCCTCAGATCTCAGTCTTCCGAGTAGCTAGGAATTTAGGAGCCAATATCTGATTTTTTTTCTTTTTTTTTTCTGTCAGGCCTGGGACTTGACCTCAGGGCCTGAGCACTGTCTAAGAGCTTTTGCTCAAGGCTAGCACTCTACCACTTGAGCCATAGCACCACTTCCAGCTTTTTCTGTGTATGTGGTACTGAAGAATCAAACTCAGGTCTTCATGCATGCTAGGCAAGCACTCTACCACTAAGCCACATTCCCAGCCCCAATATCTGAAACTTTTTAATGATGTCACAAATGGAAAATTTCACATGTGAGCACATATGACAGATTCACTGAAAATACTGTAAGAAATTTCCTTCAGGCTATTTCTGTAAGTTTACACAAAACATAAGTAAGTTTCATGTTTAAACTCAGGTCCCATCCCCAAGAAAGATCTTATTTATATGTGTGTGTGTGTTTCAAAATTTGAACTACTAGCTGCGTGCGGGTGGCTCATGCCTGTAATCCTAGCTACTCAGGAGGCCGAGATCTGAAGATCGTAGTTCAAAGCCAGAATGGGCAGGAAAGCCCATGAGACTCCAATTAACCACCAGAAAACCAGAAATGACACTGTGGCTCAAGTGGTACAGTGCTTGCCTTGAGCTGAAGAGCTGAGGGACAGCGCCCAGGCCCAGAGTTCAAGCCCCAGAACTGACAAAAAAAAAAAAAAAGCTAATATACTATTAGAAGATATATGTATATATACATTTAAATTATATAATTTTTTTTGCTGGTCCTGGGGCTTGAACTCAGGCCTAGTATTCTACCAGTTGAACCACAGTGCCACTTCCAGTCTTTTCTGTGTATGTGGTACTGAGGAATTGAACCCAGGGCTTCATGCATGTTAGGCAAGCACTCTACTACTAAACCATCTTCCCAACCTGTTTGGTTTTTGGGGTTTTTTTTTTTAATTGGACTTGATTCTAAACCAAGGACCAGAAAAGCTGTTTTTTGTTGTTGTTGTTGTTTTGTTGTTTTTGTCGGTCGTGGGGCTTGAACTCTGGGCCTGGGCGCTGTCCCTCAGCTCTTCAGTTTAAGGCAAGTGCTCTACCAATTGAGACACAGTGCCACTTCCAGTTTTCTGGTGGTTTATTGGAGATAAGAGTCTCACAGACTTTTGTGCCTGGGCTGGCTTTGAACTGAGATCCTCAGATCTCAGCCTGAGTAGCTAGGATTACAGCCATGTAAGATTTTTTTGTACTGGTACTAGAACTTAAACTCGAGGTATCTTGCTTGATTCTTTTCCACCCACAGCCAGCTAGCTGTCTATCACTTAAGCCACCACACCAGTTCTGGCTTTTTGCTTGTTAATTGGAGATGATTCTCTCAGATTTGTCTGCCCAGAACGGATATGAACTTTGATCCTCACCATCTCAGCCTCCCCAGTAGTGAGGATTAATGTGTCACTGTCACGAGAGACCCAGAGGCAGAATGGCCGTCCACACCCACATGCAAATCCATAAGCAGCGTACAGCAGAGCTGGTGCTGCGGGAGGAAGGCCGGCAGCTCAGTCTTGGTAGTCAGGGGACAGGGGAACAGTGCTCACTGGACACTGGAGCAGAGCAGAGTGGGCTCTGTCCAGGTACGAATGCTTTCCACACAGAGGGCAGAGCACAGGGCAGAGACCTGCATGAGGGACACAGCAGCAGCAGATCTGGCCAAGTCAAAGCTGGCAGGAAGGAAACGGGCCATGCGGCAATTCCTGAGAACTCTGCTTTGAAGGGGATCAGGGGTGGAGAAGTGGGGTGAAGAGGGGGTCACTTTAAGACAGGGTTTTTCCATTGCAACACACGAGTGAGAAGTGAAGGACAAGGGAACAAAATGCTTCAGCAGCAGAGAGACATTGCTAAGCGCTGCTGGCTCACACCTGCAATCCTAGCTACTCAGGAGGCTGAGATCTGAGGATCATGGTTTGAAGTCAGGCCAGACAGACACATACTAAAGACTCTTATCTCCAATTACCAGCAAAAAGCCAGAGGTGGAGCTGTGGCAGAATGCTAGCCTTGAAAAGTTCAGGGGCAGCACCTAAGTCCTGAGTTCAAGCCCCAGTACCAGCACCAAAAACAAAGGGGAGAGTGAGACTCAGAACTGGTAGGAGTCCCCAATAATGCCGGCACAGAGGCCGGCACAGGTGGACTGGAGACACACAGCAGATGGGGAGGTGGGCATCTGAGGCGTCTGTCATGTGGGTTGAAGTCTCTACTTCCTATGGAGTAACAGGGCTAGGAACTCATAGGGCAGTGACAGAGGAGACAGGCTGAGAGGGGCATGTGCTCATTAGAGGTGTGTGGCTGCCAGGTTACAGGGAAAACATGGCCTCAATTGTGGGATTTCTCTCCAGCTTCATTCAACGGTTCTGAGCCAGCAGAGACTGGATTGTGGTGGTCATGCTGACTGACCGACACAGGGAGAGGGAAGGGCCGGGAAACTGCGTTTATAGAGACAAGCTAAAAAACAAAGTACCTTAAGAGGGGAAGGAGGAGAAGGCACTAGGGGGATGATGATGAGCACCAGTGTGCGGAGGTTTAACAGATGGCAGAGCAGGTGCTGTGGCTCACACCTGTAATTCTACTCAGGAGGCTGAGATCGGAGGATCATAACTCAAAGCCAGCTCAGGCAGGAAAGTCCATGAGACTCTTATCTTCAACTAACCACCAAAAAGCCTGAAGGAATGCTGTGATTCAAGTCTCAGAACACCAGCCTTGAGCAAAAGAAGTGAAGGGAACCGAGCCAGGCGCTAGTGGCTCATGCCTGTAATCCTAGCTATTAAAGAGGCTGAAATCTGAGGGTTCTGGTTTGAAGCCAGCTGGGCCAAAAAGAAGTCCAGGTGATTCTTATCTCCAATTAACCACCAGAAAACTGGAAGGGGCACCTTGGCTCAAAGGGGTAGAGTGCTCCCTTTGAGCAAAACAGTTCAGGGACGGAGCCCAGGCCCTGCGTTTGAGCCATAGTCTGACTGGCACATATGAAAGCATGCATGCATGCACACACACACACACACACACAAACACAAAACAGATGAGACAGTTCCAGGAGGCCGATGCCTGGATTGAGGGGAGCTGAAACAGCTGGAAGTAGAGGGCAGAGGAGAGGGCCAAAGGCTGGCAGGGGCAGATTCCACGATGAGGTGAGGAGGCCAGGTGCGCAGTGGTTGAGAGGCCACTGGATCCGGGCGGGGCGGGCGGGGCGGAACTAATTAGAGGGAAAGGTTGTTGTAGGGAATGGAGAGGCCAGCTGTGGTCAGTGGCTCCTAGGCACTCAGAGGCCCAGGGAAAGGGAAGAGAAGGCCAGGGAGGAAGTGCGGCGACCGGAGGGGAAGAGCTCAGGGAATGTGGAGTTACCAGGGGTTAGAAGACAGCAAGATCGCTCCCTGATTACCACCTGGGCTCAGGCAGCAGAATGACAGTTTAGCACTGACATGAACACTGTACATTTACTCCCCAAAGTGAATCTGAGACTTCAGCTATGAGCCAGGTGCTGGCGCTTCACACCTGTAATCCCAGTTAACTCTGGAGGCTGAGATTTGTGGATCTCAGTTGAAAGCCAACCTGGGCAGATCAATCCTAGAGACAATTATTTCCAATTAAGCAGCCAAAATCAAACCAAAAAACAAAAAACCCTCAACAACTCCACAAGTAGAAATATGGCTCAAGTGATAGAACACCAGCCTGGAGCAAATAAGCCAAGCTGAGAGCTCAAGGCTCTGAGTTCAAGTCCCAGTACGGACACACACACAAAGTAAAGTCACCAGCCAGTGTGTTCGCATCGCACAGGTGAGGAAGCAGCAGGCGGCCAGGGTCCTGACCCCCCCCCCCCGTGTAGTCCTGAGCCCTTGGGCTCTGGTCACCTGGGTAGTTCCGGCAGCCACCTGCGGTGCTCCCCCGACGCCAGGTACCCTCATACAGCGTGGTGTTCCAGTTCCGGATCGTCCGGCTCTTGAGTGCGTCTGGCGTCAGATTGCAGATCTCCAGGCGGGTGAACTCTCGCATGAAATCTCGGAAAGACATCCTGGGGGGGGGGCGAGGGTCAAAGCACACAGCTGGACCCCAGTTCCCAGCCATGCAATGGGTCTGGGGCAGGCAGGAGAGAGCCCCTAAGAAGGGGCTGGGAATGTGGCTCAGTGGTAGAGTGCTTGCCTAGCATGCATGAAGCCCTGGGTTCAATTCCTCAGGAATACATACACAGAAAAAGCTGGAAGTGGCGCTGTGGCTCAAGTGGTAGAGTGCTAGCCTTGAGCAAAAGAAGCTCAGGGACAGTGCCCAGGAGTTCAAGCCCCAGGACTGACCAAAAAAGAAAAAGAAAAAAAAAAGAAGGTCTAGGTATGGTGATAGACATCTGTAATCCCTGCTATTTGGGATGCAGAGGCAGGAGGGTCATGAGTTCAAGTCCAGATCAATGAAAGCCATTATCAATAGAAAGTTGGTGAAGAGAGGCTCTTTTTTTGGGGGTAGAGGGAGGTGCCAGTTGGGCTAACCAGCGTGATTATCAGCGGGTATGAACATAGAACAACAAAACTTCTTGAAATTGTATTCAGAAGAGGAGGAAGGAGGACAGGGAGGTGGGGAGTGGCTGCTTGGAAGAGATTATATACATGCGTGGGAATGCCACAATGAAAGTCTCCAGCATGTAGCCAGCGCATGCTAATAAACATCACTTTTTTAAAACAAGTAAGTTAGTGAGATTAACTCTAAAATCAAAATTTAAAGAAAAAAACTCATCTCCAAAGCCAGGCGCCACAGTGGGCTCACACTTATAATCCTAACTATTCAGGAGACTGAGATCTGAGGATCACAGTTCAAAGCCATCCTGGGCAGGAAAGTCTGTGAGACTCTTATCTCCAATGACCCACTAAAAAAGCCAGAAGTGGAGCTGTGGCTAAGGTGGCAGAGCACTAGCCTTGAACAAAAACTTTGGGAATAGCCGGGCGCGTAGCTCATGCCTGTAATCCTAGCTACTCAGGAGGCTGAGATCTGAGGATCTCGGTTCAAAGCCAGCCTGGGCAGGAAAGACAGTGAGACTCCTATCTCCAATAAACCACCAGAAAACTGGAAGTGGCGCTGTAGCTCAAGTGGTAGAGCGCTCGCCTTGAGCTGAAGAGCTGAGGGACAGCATCTAGGTCCAGAGTTCAAGCCCCATGACCGACAAAAAAAAAAAAAAACAACTTTGGGAATAGTACTCAGACCCTGAGTTCAAGCCCCAAGACAAGACAAGGAGGGAGGGAGGGAGGGAGGGAGGGAAGGAGGGAGAGAAGGGAAGAAGGGAGGGAGGGAGGGAGGGAGGAAGGGAGGGAGGAAGAGACTGAAAGGCTTGAATGGACCAGTCCCTAGGTTCAAACCCCAGTACAACAGGAAGAAGCAACAGGAAGAAAGGAGGAGGAGGAAGAAGAGGGGGAGGAGGAAGAAGAGGAGGAGGAGGAGGAGCCACATGGAGGAAAGGGCTGCTCACCAGAACTCCCCATCTTCCATCTTGATCCTCAGTCGTTCCCGTTCATAGGGGTCCACATTATTCCACTCTGAGGAGCTGTGGGAGCAGGGCACTGCCAGGACTGGACGGCACTGAGCTGCCTGGGACCCATCCACCCTGCCTCGACTTCCCCCAGCCCAGATCAGGAGGCTCCTTCAAGCCCACTCCCAGATCCCAGACCTAGGCTTTCCCTGTCCAGGTGAGATACCGGAAGGACCCACAGGCTGCTACAGACTCCAACAACCTGTGCCCCACCAGGGTGGTGCCCCCCAAACCTAGTATGCTCCCCTGGTTTATCCTGAGTCCTCCCAGGTGCACTGACGGGCTCCTCAGCCCCCGCCCCCCCCCCGCCAGTGCCCAGCGGGTCCCTCACCCATCACTCCAGGCTCCCGTCCACTCCACCTCGCCCCAGGGGTTCCGTATCCGCATCAGGCTCACCATCTGGCCCTGGTAGTTCACCTGTCCCCAAAGCACCCAACAACGCTAGCTTCTGACATGCGTGCTGTCAGAAGCTTCCCCGCCAGCGCGACCCAGAGGCCCTAGGAGGCAGCTGTGCTCTGGAACACCAGTCAATCAGGGTTAGCGTGGATGGATAAGCATCAGGATGGGTGTCCCCGGGGACAGATAAGGTGTGGGGACCCGGTCACAGACACCTCCCATAGCCCTGTGGGATGCCAGCGAGGCCAGGCCAGGCCAGGAGGTAGGAACCGCCCCGGGAGCGGAGCAGGCCCCACCCAAGGCAGTACCTGTTTGGCCCCAGTCACCGAATACGCATGGCCCTTCACCAGCTTCTTAAATGTGACGGCTTCCATGTCCAGGACACTGGAGATCTGCAGACACACACGTGCACTGTGGTGGGGGAGGGCTGGGGGAAGGGGGGGGCTGGGCTCCTCACTCTGCCTGAAGGAAAGGCCTGGAAAAGCCCTTCTCCCATCCCCCACCCCTGTTCATCCAGCAGCTGTTGGGAATGACAGACAAGACCTAATCCCATGTCTCCATTCCCACTTGTGGACACAATCCTGCAAGGGGGGCTACCCAATGCTACCACTGGTGTGGGGGGAGGGAAGCCCAGACAGCCCACCAACACTACTACTAGTTAGGAGGATGCTTATCTATGCACGCACACACCTACAGCCATGCACTTCCCCAAGGTCAACGCAGAACAATAGGGAAGGGGGAAGGAGGGAGGGCCAGGGCCAAGGATCTCAGTGGTTTGGGGGTGCCTATGGAGGGCTGGAGATGGTAGAAACAGAGGGACAGACAAGGGTGGGCCTGGAATATGGAGAAGGAGCTAGGAGAGGGCAAGAGAGAGAGCACGATGGCTAAGGAAGGCAGGGGAAGGAGATGAGAAGGGAGCTCAGTGGATGGTCAGGAACCTAAGTCCAGGATCAAGCTGAGGCCTGAGGTGTGGGGAAAGGAGGAGGAAAGAAGGGGAACAGCTGGGTGCAGGTGCCTCACGCCTGTAATCCTAGCTATTCAGCAGGCTGAGATCTGAGGATCGCAGTTCAAAGCCAGCCCGGGCAGGAAAGTTCATGAGACTCTTATCTCCAATAAACCACTGGAAAACTGGAAGTGGTGCTGTGGCTCAAGTGGTAGAGCACTCATCTTGAGCTGAAGAGTTCAGGGACAGCGGTCCAGGCCCAGAGTTCAAGCCCCATGACTGACTCCCCCCAAATAAAAATAATAATAAGGGGAACAGGAATGTCACTGGGCATGGAAGACAATGGGACAATGGGTGGAAGAGAAGGACAAGGCTGGAGACACATCCACATCCAAAGATGGTGCTGAGATGAAGGGTGAGGGCGAGGCTTGGGAACCCAGGAACACTGGGGCAGGGCCAGGGTGCGAACACTCACGTCGATGGAGCACCCCAAGAGGGAGCCTCGCTCCAGCGCCTTGAGGATGATCTGGTAGAGGTCGCTGGGCGCCTTCCGCAGCTCGTACCACTCGGTGACCCCACCTGTGAAGTCCTCAAAGCCCTCCGAGGTGCTGCCGCCCGACAGGGCCTCATAGCTGCCGTTCACCCTGTGGGCAGCTCCGGGTCAGGGCTGTGGCATCAAGCAGGACTGGGTAAGAGAGCCAGGGGCCCCTGCCCTCAGTAGGGAGGGGAGGGGAGGGGGAGCTGTCCCCCAGGCCCTACTCACTTGGCATAGGCCTTCTCAAGCAGGGCACTCCAGAACTCGTTGCCTTGGGCAGAGTGCACGAACACCAGCTTCCCATCCTTGGTGGGCAGCAGGTCATCCACGACCACGTCGACCCACTCCCCGAATTGCCACAGCTGCGGGAGAGGGGTGCGGTAACCACTCAGCCCTGTATCATTCTAGATCACTTATACTCAAGTAGACATCACACAGTCAGCCCTCGGTATCCGCAGGCTCTGAGCTCCTGCTTCTGACCCCTAATGGGGTTCAAACATTTGAAAAGAAAATGGCATCTGTACTCAACGTGCATTAAGTATGATAGAGCCAACTAGTGATGCATTAAAGGGTACTGCATCTGGGCACTGGCAGCTCAAAACTGTCAACCTAGCTGCTCAGGAGGCTGAGATCAAGGTTGGAAGCCACCCTAGATAGGAAAGTCTGGGAGACTTGGGGTTTTTTTGTTGGTCATGGGTCTTGAACTCTGGGCCTGGGTGCTGTTCCTGAGCTCTTCAGCTCAAGGCTAGCACTCTACCACTTGAACCACAGCACCACTTCCAGTTTTCTGGTGGTGTACTGGAGATAAGAGTGTCGATGTCTTTTCTGCCCAGGCTGGCTTTGAACTGTGATCCTCAGATCTCAGCCTGCTGAGTAGCTAGGATTACAGGTATGAGCCACTGGTGCCAGGCTGTGAGATTCTTATCTCCAACTGATCAGCAAAAAGCCAGAAGTGGAGGAGCTGTGGCTCAAGAAGTAGCCTTAGGTGAAAAAGCTAAGCAAGAGCAGTAGGCTCTGCCTACAACCCTAGTCCTGGCACAAAAATAATAAACAATAAACTAAAGTATACAGAATAAGGAGAATGTGAGTAGGTTACATGAAAATAGTAGGAAATTTTTCTATAAACGTCCTGGGCATCAGTGTGTGTTGGTAGCTGCATAGGCCTGGTGGATATCCCTAACCCTTCAGATACAGAGAGGGGAGACTGCCTGATACACAGCCCTGGGCCAGTTTTCCCCTGAGCCTCAGTTTCCCTACCCATTAAAGGAAGCAGTGCTTTCCTCATGGAAAGTCAAACAAGGTCACAGACGGAAAGCCAACACTGAGCTCACCAGGGAAACAGACCTAATTGCCTCCATCAGTAAGAAGATGGAAAGCCCCGGGGCCTGGGCTCACCCCCAAACCAAACCCCCTGGATGTGGGGGGTCAGTGGGGGTTACTAAATGTGGAATGAAAATGTGGCAACCCCACCCCTAGATGGGCGGGTCTGATTCTGGCAATTGCGGGATTTGTGTCAGCCAGGCTGGGGGCAGGCTTCCCAGGGGGTGGGGAAGTAGGAGCGGGGTTCAGACCCCAGGCTTCTCCGTTCCCAGTATTGTCTCAGACAATGGGGAATGAAGGCGGGCCCAAGGAGCTCCAGTTGCCAATCAGAGGCCGGAGAGGATTGGATTGGAGGAATGAGAGAAGAAGGCGGGGAGAGGAGCAGCGCAGCCCCGCCCTGCGGACCAACGCGGGGTAGCTGGGGGCTCCGCCCCGGGGCTGGGCAGCGCGGTTATAGTCAGGTCAGTTCCCCCGCGTGGGGTGGGGGAGCACGAAGGAAATCCCTGTGGGCGTGGCGGGGACTCCCACGGCGGGAGAGCCTCCACCCAAGCTGCTGCGCTGCGTCTCTCTCAACACCAGCTCATCGAGAATGCATTAGTGTGACCAAAAAATGGTCTGTCACCAAAGTCAAGAAACGCTGGCTCAGACAGAACCTGGAGCCTTTCGTCTTTGTGTCCGAGGTTGCCAAAGGCAGCAGTTGGAATGGGAGGGAGGGGGGCAAATGGAAAGAATAAGCTACAGGTTTGCCCCCAGCCTCCCCTCTCCCTGCAGAACACTGCTTTCCCCAATGGGGAAACTGAGGCCTAGGTAGAAAGGGGATTTGGCCTTCAGAATAACACAGACCCTGTGTTTTTTTTGGGTTTTTTTTTTTAACTCTTTCAAGCCCCTTCTCCTAGATGAGGTTACCATCCAGGAAAACAGCCAGCCGAAAGACCTGCCTAGCCATTCACACATGACAGCCAGAGGTGGCACTGAGGTCAAATACCTGGGGATGGGGGGGTAGGGCTGTCCCCACAGGGTGTGGCCTTTGGCCACTGTAACTTCAGAGTTCTGCTCCCCCTCTTCCCCAGGGGCGGAGGGGGTGTGGGGGGTGCAGGCCCTTCACCTGGAAATGGAAGATGCCCGCGTAGCCATCTTGGAAGCTCTGGCCATGGGGGACCACTCGGTGCAGGAGGGTGTCGTTCAGCGTGAGGGAGGCGATGGCGGCCAGGAGCCAGCAGTCCCCTGAGACGGGAGGGGCCCGGGTCAGGACTGCTCTGTGGATCTGGCCAGGGCTCAGGGAAGGAGGCCTTGTTCAGGCGAGTCATCTTGCTGGGGAGAACCCGGGTCTCCCTGGGGTGGGGTACCCCCTTCCCCAGCTCCCCTCCGCTGGCAGAAAAGACCCAGGAATCTGGGCAAACCAGCACCAGCGCTGATGGCCGAAGCCTGCCTAGGCTTGCAGAAGGGAGGGGTTGGGGCAGTGCCCAAGAAACGGAGAATGGGGAACTACTGTGGAACATACACCCAGAGCCCCGCGGGGAGGGGAGGGGGTCCTACCCAGCGCGCCCTGGCAGATGTCCGTGCGAGTGGCTCCATCCACTATAAACTGGGGGTTTGACAGCAGCTCCTACAAGACCCAGAGACCTTCCCTAGCCCAGTCCTTTCTAGAAATGGGCGCCTAGCCACCCCAGACCCCACTTGGCCACCAAGGGACTGGTATCCCATCACTGAGGGTCAGCTGAGGCCCGCCTCTGGGGCGGGGGCGGGGGTGCCCCGCTCACCATGGGACGCTTCCACTTGATGCCATAGGTCTTGGAGGAGTTAGGACCCAGTTCCTTGAAGCCCAGGCTCTGGGGCACTGGGGGGAAGGCCTCATCTCGGAACAGAGCCCCACTCTGCAGACATCTTGCTCGCAGCTGCTCATAATCCTGGCCCAGGTACTTGATGGCGTTCTCATGGCGGCCCAGGCCCAGCTCCTTGGCCCGCTGCTTCTGCACTTGGGCAGACACCCCTGTGCAGTACACGGGCGTGATGATCTCCTCCGCCATCCTGGGGGACAGGCAAGCGTGCTGGGAGCCGGGGCCTTCCCGGGACTCGCAGCCAGCAGGTCCCTGGGACGCGGTCCCTGCCCACTGCCAGGGTCCGGGCCGGGGGGTCGATCCCAGGGCAGGGGGAGAGGGGGCGGGCGGGGCTCTGCCCAAACACAGGACGCTGGGCAGATTGCGGGGGAACCCCAAGGAAGGTCTCTTTCGTCCCGTTCGCCTGCCTGTGACCCCACCCCCAAAGTAGCCAAGCCCCTAGGTCGGGCTAGGACTCGGGCAGGCAGGGCCCGGCCGGGCCCGGCGGGGAGACCGGCGCTGGGCTCCGGCCTCGTGTCGGGGGAGGGGCGGGGGGACCGTGGTGAGTGGCCGGCGGCGGCCAGCGCAGGTGCGGGTGGGCGCCCCGGGCTCTGCGGGCTCCCGACCCGCGCACGCGAGGGACCCCGAAGAAGGGGGCAGATCTGGGGCGGCCCCTCGGCCCGGGAGGCTGGGCAGTGGTGGGGTCGGAGCCTCACGGGCCCCCTCACCCCCAAAAACGTCCTTACCTAGCGGAGGGGACGGGCGGGGGGAGCTGCGGTCCCCGAGGTCGGCTTCCCGGGTGGCTGCTCCGGGCAGGGCCCAAGCAGGAAGAGGGC